ACGAAGCATCAAGAAACCTAGCAAAGCAAAGAGCTATGAAAGCCCTCGTAAACAACACTAAGAAACAACAAAAGCACATTCATATCCATATGAGGTTGCATTAGATTTCACATGTCCAATAGACTGTCACTGTTACACAATTCCCATCTTCTCCTTGAATTTGCTTGCTGCTTGTACCTGACATTTCTGCTGGGAACTCTACAGCGCCTTTTGCAATCTCATCGTCACCAGACAATGTATCGTAATCATACAAACTTGCCGTAACTATTAGAGAACCGTTCAGTGGCACTGCAACAACAGATCTTAACAATGGAATGTATTGCCAACGCCTTACATCAACGTAGTCATCAGATGATCTGTTGAACAGCAAACACGTCGTATTAGGATCCTTCCAATCGTCATAATGAGCATCAACTTTTCCATAAACATTGGCTGTACTTTCTCCTCCTCCTTCCAGAGTAACGGTTATTCTAGCAGCCACAGCATTTCTCAGCACTGCATAATTGACTGTCACAGAACCATTATTGCCATCTAATTTTTGAAATATGGGTTTGTCGTACACATTGCCGATCTCAGAAGCATCCCATGAGATGTATTTATTGATGATTTCATCGTCCCAAGACCATGTGTCTTTATCAGTGAGAAGCAATTTGATGGTAAAGTTCCCGATGGCAAGAATGGATTGAGATGGTCCAGTTTGCGAAGCATTTTGACCTGGCTTGATGGATTCTGGGTTGCTGCTTGTGCGATTGTAGATGTACTCTATATTTAATCCATCGTTGACAGTGATTGTGCCATAGAGTTGCCTGGGATCCTCTTCATCTATGTTATCAATGCGCACTGAGAACATTTCCACAAGTGGTAGCCCCAAAAAGCATTGTCCTTCATCAGAGGTCATGCGTGGGAACCTTCCTGGTCCACTGGGCCTGAAGCAAAGTCCCAACAAGATGCCAAGTATTTCTGCAGCTTGGGCAATAGTTCTTATTTCCCTGTTATCTGGTGGAAGCTGCACAACATTTCTTTGAAGTCGAAACGATTCATCTGGGTAGGCATCAGCACGAAACAAAGCTCCTGAGAAGGGGTCCCAAGCACGAACTAAGACAGTAATCCAAGGTTGGATTTGACCTTCTCGGTTACGATTTTCGGCATTGTAATCATAAGAGCTGGTGCCACGCGAGTTGTCAAAATTGGTAGCCATATAGTCGAATATAGGAATTAGTCTGGTTGATTCGCAGATCATCATAATCACAACAATCAGATAACATGCCCTAATCTCCCAAGCTGTCGATATAGCAAGCTGATTTATACCGTACCCTAGGTTGTAGAAGCCAACTGTTATTTGCTCCATATTCAGGCGAGCAACATTTGCTAACCTATTGTAGTTACCATCGAAGCCTAGGAAGGTGGTTCCTTGTTCTTGAATTAGATGCACACCGGTACTGTTGTTAAGCTCTAACCACTGTCCGCTCTCCACCTGGTAGCCAATCAAGTACAGGTTATCCATTCGAAACCTGAACCTCACAGAGTGATCGTTGGTTCGTATTACCAAATCGAAGAATCGAGTGGGTGGTTCCTCTTGAATAGCAAGTGCAGGACGATTGTGGGAAAATCTCTCTCCCAATCGAACACACAGTCTCTCAATGAAAGTTCGATAACCCCCCCTGGTGCTGGTTTGAACATTGATCTCCATCTCAAACTCCACCGGCATTGTCTTTGATCAAATTCTTTGTGCAATGAGATAAATCAGTTGCAATTTATAGCCAAGACAAAAGAAGTGAATGATAGTTCTAATCAATATTAATTAATTGTCATTCATAACCGAAAAGAAGAACTAGTAACAATTAAAAGAACACGAGAGAGCAAGACATCACAAGGTAATAAATAGTTCTAATCAAGATTAATTAATTGTCATTCATCACCGAAAAGAAGAACTAGTAACAATTAAAAGAACACGAGAGAGCAAGACATCACAAGGTAATAAACTTCACATTGTCGAACTCGAAACCATAAACAAAGTAGCAATACAACGTATGTGTTACAAGAATATTACATCGTGAAAAGAAAGCATGTGGAGTAATTTCTCAAATAATGGTCTATCCTTCTCGTTCACATACAGGAGCAGTTTGTCTTTTTGGACCACATCTAGATCTAGAATAATGATNCGGGAGGGTGAATAGTGAAATCTCAATATATTCCGCAAGTGAGATTTCGGACGTATTTTAACACCTTCATAAAACACCTGCAAAAACTACATCGTCATATAGTGCAGTGGTCCATGATGCAAATCTTTCATTCAATGAATACTTCAATGTATTGGGATCACCAATTGGGTCAATAAAGAAAGTTTCTTGTCCTTATTGGATTGCATTATTGAATTTTATATTGCACGTTTTTCTTCTAGTATAAATGTAGGGGCATCTTTCATTGAATGAATGCTTTCCATTAATACAGCAGCAAGAATCCCGTGTGCAAAACCCTAAAACTCAAATAATCCAAAACAATATCTGTCAACTAGTACTGATTCATGATAATGGCAAACCAGATTGGTCACGATTGTAATAATTTTTCACATAGTGCATTTATCTCTGAAGATCCGTGATTTTTCTCCGGTATTGAGGAGTTTTCCACGTAAAAACCTTGTATTGTGATTATTCTCTATTTTTGTTATTTCTTTGGTTCATTTTGATATTTTATGCAAAGGTTGATCGGGACCGGGAGGGTGAATAGTGAAATCTCGATATATTCCGCTCCTGAGATTTCAGACGTATTTTCCCAACACACAGGGGCGGACCTGGGGGGGTCCTGGAGGGGCACGAGCCCCCCACCCCCAACTTTTGAATTTTTTTTTTAAAGTTATGTTTGGTATCGATTGAAATCTAAATTTTAATCTAAATCAAAGTTAACAATTAATTCTAACAACATATTTGATGGAATCCATAACCATTTAACTTTTATCAAAACTTTACTAAAATTTGATTTTAATCTCCATCAAACATAGGCAAAATCACAATAAATTTGAATTTCGATAACAAACTAAT